AATAATATTATATCAATACTTTTTGTTAGAGTAATTCACAGCAATCCTGTACTTGTCGTAGTTTTTTACACGTAAGTGTTTTTTGGGGGATACATATTACCAGATGAATGACATATTAAATATCTTTGCCTAGTTATTGTTTGTAGAAATATTATACGAATAACAGTTTTTATATTGTAGTGAAGCAAGTAATTTATTGAAACATGAATATACTATTGCAAAATAATTTGTTGGAAATTATATTACACTATAACTCAAATGTGTATTAATTTATTAATTTAAAATTATGTTACATGTTGTAACATATAATTTTACATGGATATTACATTGAATCAAATGAATAGTCAAGAAAGTAACATGTTCGAAGACTATAATTATTTGAAAATTACATTTTGATTGCGCTAAATATGTTATTTGTTCATTCATCTAAAAGTATGTACTTTATTATGTAATTCCGAATTATATTTACATAAACTTTCATTTTTTCTCTTCTCCTTTTTATAAATATTCTTCGTTGCGTATTATTATTTTTTTTCATCTAATTTTTATTTACATATAAATGAGTTTTTCGTATTTCAAATTGCTAAAGATAATTCGAAGTTATTTTGTATTTTGAGATGTAATCAATGAAATTTTGTATTGACTATACCATTGGTTGCTTGTACTTGACAGAAGTCTCAACTACGTGTTGTAATCAGTGCCATCTGTTATCTAAAAAAGTAGTTGGAGGTACGAAGACGACGACGATGACTGAACTGAATTAAAATCATCTCCTTTACTCTTTCAATATGGCTTGATCTCGTACAGCAATTGTATAGATCTTGGTGCCGATCGATTCAGAACGGGAAACCTAAACACAGAAAACTATGCAGAGGGACACTTGAACACTCTGAACTTCCACATCTAACACCTAGGTACAAGAAACTACGAAGCGTAACACCTGAACACCCTGGATATCCGATATCTAAATACAAGAAACTACGGAGAGGAACACCTGAACGCTCTGAACTTTCACATTTAACACCTAGATGGAAAAAACTGCGGAGCAGAACACCTGGACACCTTGGACTTCGCCGCCCAACTCTTAGATACAAGAAACTACGGAGCGGAACACCTGGACACTCTGGACTTCCACGCCCGACACCTAGATACAATAAAATAAGGTGCGGAACACCTGGACACCCTGGACTTCCACATCCGACACCTAGTTGCAGAAAACTACGGAGAGGAGCATCTGGAAATCCCATATCTTTAAAAATTGTCACCTAAAATACGAGGAACTATGTTGAAGCACACACATACACACATACGTACACGCATACACACGCGCTCTACATGAAAGCCTTAATAATTCTATACTATTGTGAAAGTAGCCTTATGTCAACTGGAAATTCGGTGTGAACGGTAGCTTCACGTACAAAGTGTATTTGCTTGTGTTGTGTATTCGTAAATTACCAACACCATCCAGAGTACAAACAGGTAAAGCAGGCAAAGCAGTCAGGGCCATCTGTTGTGTAAAAAATGCGATGGACGTGCGAAGACGACGGCGACGACGACGGAACTGAAATAAAATCATCTCGCTCGCCATTTCAATACGCCCTGATCTCGTACACTAATCGTATTGAACTTGGTGGCAATCGCTTCAGAACCTTCAATTCCTATAGTGAATGTATCAATAACTTTTCCTCATATATAACGGTTTTTAAGATATTTCGTTCCAAACACAGGTATAAGGAGTTGGCTCTAGTAAAGAGTCTCGGCGCGCTGCGCCCTGTACAGCCGGTTGTCTGTACTTGGCGCGAGACTCGACCGAGTCTCTTGATACCTGTGTTTGGAACAAAATATCTTATGAACCGCTATATATTAGGAAAAGTTATTGATACATTCACTATAGGAATTGAAGGTTCTGAAGCGATTGCCACCAAGTTCAATACGATTAGTGTACGAGATCAGGGCGTATTGAAATGGCGAGCGAGATGGTTTTATTTCAGTTCCGTCGTCGTCGTCGTCATCGTCGTCGTCGTCGTCGTCGTCGTCTTCGCACGTCCATCGCATTTTTTACACGACAGATGGCGCTGACTGCTTTGCCTTCTTTACCTATTTGTACTCTGGATGGTGTTGGTAATTTACGAATACACAACACAATCAAATACACTTTGTACGTGAAGCTACCGTTCACACCGAATTTCCAGTTGACATAAGGCTGCTGACCCGCCAAGTAGTACTCGATAAGGAATCGTCTAAAGTTTTATTAATTATTAAATCACCATTCAATCGTAATTAAACACGGGAAGCAGTAGTAACATAGAAGAGTAGCGAAAACGTTATAGGAAATATTGAAAATATAATTAAAATGATGGGCCAGTGCTAGATCATATAATAGGAAACCATGTAGTGACTTATGTACTTGGCCTCAATAATATGATATCAATACTTTTTGTTAGAGGAATTCACAGCAATCCTGTACTTGGCGTAGTTTTTTACACGTAAGTGTTTTTTGGGGGATTGGAATATACTGGGGTAAGCATATGAATCCAACTGGAAACAGTCAGGTACACACAACAGTTCATTCGTATCGAGAATACTTAGCCTACATAAAACGAGGAAGAATACTCAAGCAAAGAAACAGTCAGACCCTACAGTTAAGGTTTTTATCGTGCGGTAGTCCAAATAAAAATTATTCTAAATAGTATGTGCGTGAAGTCCGTGAAAAGTTCCGTTTAACTTTCGGTTATGGCTGTAACTGGTGGCAATCTATCCAATCGATGTGCTATGCTATTGTACTTATCCGAAACATATTCTCGACCAATTTAATGATCGTGGCAACTCTGCACTTTTCGTCGAGTTGGTCCATGAAGTTAATCATTAAAGTAAAGTCTTGTAAAGTGAGGTTATGCACATTTTAATGCGAAAATAATGCATTAAGATGAATCGCATGAGATTTAAAGGAAGATTTGTAAAGAAAAGTGTGATGGTAAAGATAATAAAAGCCGTACAATGCATGATTGACGCGAACAAGAAAGCTGCAGCTGTCGAGGCAAGCGGAATCGAAATTGAAGAGTCTGACAAAAATCACTCGTATTTAGACGGCGTATTGTTGATGTGTCGGAGCTCGGCGAAAATTTGTTTATTTATCTCTTTTTTTTCAATAATTCGCAAATCACTCGAAAATGTGACATAATATAACAATTGTCGTTTGTTTACTTGAAAAGCGCACGTCCACGTTCTCCCTTCTCATACGTCACAGCGTACAGTATTGCCGTATCGTTCAGATCTATTTCAAACTTGTTGAGGTGTGCTGATAAACATCTTTCTTTCTTATAACAAAATTTGATTAAAACAGTAAGAAGAAATTATTTATTGTGATCAAAAATATAATCCAACCTTCGCGTTACATAGAGGATGACGTGTATAAGAGCTTTTTTTCAATCATGATTTTCTCGTGTTCTAGGTGGTTAACAATTTTGAAACTTCACACATATATTCAAGAAGCATCGCATAATAAATAGCTGAAGTTTCAACAATTTCCTAAGAAAATGGGTACATCGCATTAACTACCTTAAATTGCGTTATCGTTCCATATATCAGGATACGATAATAACCTCATGCAATAACACACACTACATCATTCAGAAAGCAGTATAATCTAATTCATATTTCTTCAGATTGTTTACCCATTACCAATTAACGAATCGCATAGACAAACTGGCGATTCTAAAAAATCCAAACCTGTAAAGTGTCCTAGCGTACCGAAGTCGTATTCAAAAGAAGTAGCTTCAGCTGGTCAGCGTAGAGAAGAAACAGATAGAGACAGGGCAAATATAACGCATGGAGGTACCGATTAATATCGGCAAATTCAACCAACGAACCATCCTAACTACCATTCTAAATTCGTATTCTTGAAAACAGAATATTCATTCAATTTAATATATTCAATTCTTATAACTCTAAATCGTTCCTTTTAAATCAAATATAAATTATAAAAATATTTAACATATTTCAAGAAACGACCCTAATAATATATTATATTAATATAAATTATTAAAAAAATAAATATGGAAATCATTACATTACTTTAATGAGTCAACGTACCTGGTATACTAAAAGTGTAATAACTTTTTCAGGAATATTCGAATTTTACAATTGGCAAACCCAGATGCAATATTCCAGAACGACTAATTGCATTCGGATGCCCTTCGTTTGCGATAAAGGAAGCTACCACAGGGTCTGTTCAATTATTGCAAGATGAGAATTTCCAGGATGTCATCATTGATCAAATCCCCGTTCAATTGAAACCACAGAAAATTCGGATAAAGCTTAGACCTTTGTCGGAAGAGATACTTCGCATTCAGTATAGGCCAGCCAAGTGAGTTTATAGTTGACAGGGATAATTTAAAACTAATTTATATATTTAAAAATAGTTAATACGATTAGCTTATCTATTTAAATACACACAGTGTGTATTAAACATATATATTGATTAATGTGCATAAGCAAATACAACACGTGGGTAGTATGCAACATAGAATACAAAAGTATAACACTGTGAATAATATACTAGCAAACTATACGAATATATTACGTGCAATTTTCAATCTTTCACAAAGAAAATGATAAGTAACTCAGCAGATTGATTTAATTAATACGACAAATATTTACTCAATTGTTAGGAATTATCCATTGGACTTATATTACTTGATGGATCTCACGTGGTCCATGCAGGACGATAAGGAGACTTTAGTAGGACTTGGATGGAAAATGGCAAATACTCTTGGCACCTTCACAAATAACTTTAGACTGGGTTTTGGAAGCTATGCTGATAAACCTTTAATGCCGTACATATTTCCTGGTTATGAAGATAACCCTTGTCAAGCGGAGCATGCTACATGTGCTCCATTATATTCATTCAGACATCATATGACCTTGAGCGGTGATGTGCAGGAATTTATAAAGAAGGCAAATACTTTCATTGTAACACACATAATATTGTTTAGGAAAATACATTAAAAAATTTTTTTTGTAATTAGGTGAATGCCAGTGACGTCACAGGAAACGTTGATAACTTGGAAGGTGGTTTGGACGGTGTAGTTCAAGCAGTGGTCTGTGGGGAACAAGTTGGTTGGGGTCATCAGGCAAGGAAATTGATGCTCGTAGCGACTGATGGTTCGCTTCACTTTGCTGGTGATGGCAAGGTGCACTTTTAAAACAGTATTTTACCTAGTTAGTACGAATGAGTATAAGACACGAGTGTAAAGTTTGGTATACCAGCCGTTACGCGAATATACCAATCACACAAGTCTTATACTCATTTGTACTAACTAGATATAACAGTGTTTGTAACAAATGCTCAAATAAAACGCCGTCTGGTCCTCTTTTTTATGAGAGATTGCACTGCTAATCAGCCTCAATTAGTATATTACGACCCTAGGCCAGAAAGTTAGATTTCCTGCCGTTGGCATTCACCTTTTGGCCATGGGTCGTATACTATTTTTCTTGCTCCCTAAGCCAAAAGTACCGTCTTCCCGTTTTTCATTATTCAACTGACATTACAAATTTACGGTTATGAAGAGTTGAATAAAAACATAAGCGCTTAGAGTTTATGATTGAACATTCACTCGTTTGCATTTGTTTATATGCAGGCAAGCAGGCCACAAAAGTGGCTCTTCCCGGACTCAAATGCGGCCGGGAAGACAGTACTTTCGGCTTAGGGAGCAAGAAATAGTATATTGTGCACCGAGAGCGAAAACGGGCGTTTCTGCGCCCGTTTTCTCTCGCGGTTCACATACTATTTTCTTCAACAGCGGAACGAACGCGAGTTTTCACGTAATGGGTGATTCTTGAGTCGGTGCAAATGAGCAGGTTAGTTTGATAATTTAGAAAATCACAATGAAACATCTGTGCACCGTACAGCTTACGTGAAAAAAACAATTGTCCCGGTGGTAGCTGATCGTTGGATTCGTTGGCAAATGTCACCTCACTCCTATTCAAGTTTTCAATCTTCCACGTTTCCCCATTCGAGAATTGACCGTTTTCGCTCCTCCCGCTGTTGAAGAAAATATTTTAGATGCCTATGACGTCACTATCTTAAATTTTTATTAATTTTATAATCGTTTCTCTAAAAAATAATATTTCAAGATGCCCTCTGGCGAAACATTACGGGGTATTTGTATTGTTGCATATGGTCAACACCTATAAACACCTATAATATAATTATGGGGTATTCTTTGAGCATTTGTAACAAAAATAATTATATTAAGTGCATTAAATACAAAATGACGATTATGTATCGGCGATCTTCCAATCTCATACTCATTTTTATGACAATAATTACTGATAACTATTAAGAAATAACTACGTAAAGTTATGCACTTGCACTGTTCCTTACTGGCAGCAGTTATTTCATACACGTATTATACGGCGTCACTACTAGTGATAGTCCTACTTGCGCAGTAGTTACTACTCGTAAATTCAAGTACTGTCCAAGTAGTTGATTATACTCTAACGGTTATTGCAAAAAGTTAAATACTTGCAAGTAATGGTTATTTAGGAGTAGCAACTGCTGCAATCAGTAATACTAATACTATTAGTAATACCATAACAGTAATAATACTGAGGCAATGTTTTTATTTTTAAGTAGTTACTACTAGCAAGCAGCTGTTATTTGAGAGCAGTAGTTATTTGTGTGGAACAATTACTACAGTAGTTGTGATTTCTTTTTTAAATGAACAAAAATCAAATTTTCACATCTATTAATATAGTTAAATGATCTCTGAATAGTGATTACTATATGTTTATCTCTCAACTATTGTCTTCTCAATACAGACTGAACTCACAGTAATTCACTGTTCAGCGCTTAAATTAGTGTCGTGTAAAATAATTTTCGTCAGATTAAAAAAAAATGTTATGCCTAATTCTTTGAAATAATACCTTTAAAATGAATCTAATTTTATTAAGATTGACCGTTCAGAAGTATAGGGAAAGAATATAAAAATTTACAGTTTTTACATGGATTTCCTACATAGTAGATATGTTACCGTGAAACACCGAAATCTGGAGAATGTCGACATTCACCGGTGAATGTCAAGATTCACATAGTCGCTTGGTGTATGTCCGAAATATTTGTTAAATACCCTTATTTCTGACTTACACTGGTAAATGTCGACATTCACTATGCACTAATGGTGAATGTTGAACATATCGGAGATTTATATTTTCTTCTCCGTGATTCAGTAGCTATAAAACGTCACAAGGGTGACATAAGTTTTTCGCCTCTCTTTCTGAGAGGAGTGACCAAGAATTTCTCTTCATCATTAATTTTTAAAACGTCAAAACGTTTAAATCGTCTGTAATCCAAAAGTGTGTTGCACTTAGTTTTAGCAGAAACCACTTTAGAAAATATTTTAGAGTACTTTTCTTGAGAAAAATAAAAACAATTGTTTTCTCGTTTACCCGCAATTAATGCATTTAACTTTTCAAGAAAAAGATCACGATTTACTGCAGTATCCATTTAGTATAGATTACGGTATCGGGAAAAAAAAATTAAGAAAACGTTGCTCGCATCATCAAAGCTTGCACAAGACTGACAAAGCTAACTGACTCCCAGCAGAATAAAGGATTTGGCAGGAGAGAGCTAATCGCCTCTTTGTCGGCTCCTCTCTTTCGGACCTCCACCAGAGCATATCTGTGATTGTTGACATACACCGGTGAGGGTCCGGATGTACAACAATGTAATAAAATATTCGATCTTTCACCGACGTATTTGGTATGTGTTGACATTCACCGGTGAAAGTCGACATTTTCCAATTTCGGTCTTTCACGGTAACAGATATACTGCACACACATTTCATTTTTTTTTTTCATTTAAAACGAATCGTGAGATATTGATAGATAAATATATGATGAATTGATACGAAGAGAATTCACGTACAGCTTTTAAAAATTGTTTATCGTTTTGTTTTCAAGATATTAATAGTTAAAACGAAAAATTCGTTAGAATTTTGTCTCATGAGTAAACTTCGGTGAATGTAGTGCCAACAGAACAATCTACCAAAGCCATATGTCTGGAGTAGAACGCGCGCGAACGTATAAAATAATCTGACGTCATCGACGATAAATTGAAGAAATAAAATGGTTTTCTTATACTCATTATTTATTATTTTAAATAAAAATATGTTATAAAATTTCAAAGCGAACAAAAAACAACGCAAAGAAGATAGAGAAAGTAACAAATATATAAATATTTCATAAATGTTAACAATAATAAAAATGATGAATCACTCGTGTGATTCAAATTTTTTGTCTTTGGTAACTCGTGGTTTACCATCAGACCATCACATACGACATTGCCACTATCGTGACTGTTGTGTGTGTCCGCATAGATGAAACGGATATTTCAATGTGCGTGAGAAAAGTGAACTATATGTTTTCAAAAGTATATCCATTTTGATCCAATTAAAGTATATCTAATTTAACGAATAATAAAAGCAAAATAGAATTAATTTGAACATTCATAATTTATCCACGTTATTTAGTAATCCTAAATGTATTTTTCAAGGGATATTTCATTGCAGTATTTTCATAGATATTGAATGTTTCTGTTCTGTTCTTAAATAAATTTTTGGACAGGACTGTCGCGCGACAACTATCTTAATAGTTCCTGTTAAACTCTTTTCTGCAGACTACTGAACGTTTAGGAGTGATTGCTAAAGTTACGTCAGGCCACCACCCAGGTTTTCGTAATGATTATTTACTTCTCCGTAGTCAATTGCTACACCTAAGTTCTCAATAGTAATTATTGGGTGTTTTCCGATAACTTAACTTGTATTGACACAAAGTTGCGCTATTCGCTGGCTTCTAGGGACTATTTTCAAAATGACCAATGGTGTAGCTTTGTGTTGAAACAAGTTGGGTAATTGGAAAGCACCCACGAAATGCCCAGTAGTTAATTATTAATTAAATTTTCTGAAATAATAATTGAAAATGACTAATTTACTACTGAATTTCTAGTAGTTCCCAGTACATTTTTTTCCACGAGGTTAGTTACCCAGCAAACACCTGATAACATTTATCATAAAATGTCGAACTTAGCGACGTAACATTGCTGATATGTAATTGTTACTCTGTATTCACTGAATATTCACTAAATCTCTGATTTATGCGAGTATTGCAACCCTGAGTATAACATTTTAGCATTTCGGATATGTTATTGTTACTGTTTGTTAGGTGAATAATATAGAGGAACATGTGAATCGCATGTGCACTGATGATGCTCTAATAAATAGATATTTTAAGTTATTGTAACTTATTAAGAGCTGATTTGGAATACGTCTCACAGCTTTTTAATTGATGTAGAGTATATTTTAACCATTCACATTCTCATTTTTGTAACGTATGGCAATAGACTGTTCGAGAGAAACTAATAATATTCTATTGCAGTTGGGCGGAGTGGTTCATCGTCAAGATTTTATGTGTTACCTGAATTCTGACGGAGAATATTCAATGGCGACGGAATTCGATTATCCATCACTTGCTGAAATATCACGACTTCTTCAGTCCCATAAAGTTAACCTGATTTTTGCCATTGGTGAGGATCATCGAGAAGAATACGAGAATATTGCTGAACTTTTAAAGGAAAAAGCACACGTCGCTACTTTAACAGGAAATAGTTCTAATATTTTGGAAATCGTAGAACAAGCATATCATGAAATTGTCAGTAAGGTACGAAGATTATTTAAAATATTATGGACAAAATCTTGATAAATTATTTATGGCTGCAAATAATAACCCTCTGCTACTGTTATAAGGTGATTCTTCGAGATAATTCTACAGGGTCGTTTAATGTAGAGTACTTCTCAAATTGTGGAGTTCAGGATGGTCCACAAATGCCGACCTCAGAGTGTAACGGATTGCTTGAAGGTCATGTATACAATTTTGATGTAAAATTTTCTCTTAAAGAATGTCCAGCGAATGAGAGCCTATGGGTAAGAATATACAATGTATCAGAAGTACGTCAAATCTTTTATAATGCACACATTTAAATCTTTCATATGGGACTTTTTTCTCCAATTTGCTTCTCCCACCAATTGGTGCATGCGCAATACAGAACATTAATTTATGCATGAAATTTCAAGTTTGATATACCTACGTATGCGTACGCAGTTAAATCAAAGTACCTGCCACTGTTAGTTGTATTCAGTGTATTTCCACATCCTTCCTAGGATAATAATAGGATCAAGAGACTCGGTCGAGTTTCGCGTCAAGTACATACAGGCAACCCGTCGTACAGGCCACAGCCCGCCGAGACAGTTTACTCCAAGCATCCAAAGACTCGGTCGAGTCTCGCGCCAAGTACAGGCAACCGGCTGTACAGTGCGCAGCACGCCGAGACTCTTTACTCGAGTCAACTCCTTATACATGTGTTTGGAACGAAATATCTTATGAACCGCTATATATGAGGAAAAGTTATTGATACATTCACTATAGGAATTGAAGGTTCTGAAGCGATTGCAACCAAGTTCAATACGATTAGTGTACGAGATTAGGGCATATTGAGATGGCGAGCGAGATGATTTTATTTCAATTCCGTCGTCGTCGTCGTTGTCTTTGCACGTCCATCGCATTTTTTACACGACAGATCGCGCTGACTGCTTTACCTTCTTTACCTATTTGTACTCTATATGGTGTTAGTAATTTATGATTACACAACACAATCTAATACACTTTATACGTGAAGCTACCGTTCATACCAAATTTCCAGTTAGTATAAGGGTGCTTTCACAACAGTATAGAATTATTAAGTTTT